ACCTCACTTCTTCAGATGCAAGTCTGAAGAGGTGAGGTTCTTACCCACGAAAGCTTATGCTCCCTGTACTTCTGTTAGTCTCAAAGGTGCCACAGGACCCTCTGTTGCTGTTTATAGCAAAGTTACAGTAAAAACTATTTAGTAAAAAACCCATTTTTGGGTTATGGAAGGTGCTAAAAAACACCCGACATTTTCCCCAAATGTTCCAGTCAGGAGATGGTGCGCACATTGAACTCAGAAGTGCCTGAACTGGTTTTATGCAGACGTGGCTCATTTCATAGATCTCAAAGGGATCTAAGGGAAAACCTGCTTGAAAGAACTTCGGCTCGGTTGGTTTGAGTTATAAATGATCTAACATTTCTCAAATATTCCCAGTCCCTTGAGATTTTGCTAAATCACTTTCACTGGTTTAACTGCTGTGAGTGTACAAAAATGGTCAATTGAAACTTTCATTGATATCTGCTCAGTACCTGAGTGGGTTTGAATACAGGGGACAGTGAAGGATTTTAACTTCATTCAGTCTCATTTAGAGGTGCCGGTTCTTTTGGGATTCACGACGCTTCATGGGAGAAGTTTTCAAAACCCACCAGATGACTGAGTCACCCAATTCCATTAATTTGAGTGGGAGGTGGGTGGCTGAATTCTCTGCTGGGCTTTGAATATTGCATCCAGATTTCCATTCTTAGTTCTGCCACACGGTTCCCCTGCAGCCGTGGGGAAGTGATTTAGGACAAACATTGCAACCATGGGTGCCCTCTTCTCCAACCAGCAATGAAAGCTGGCCCGAAGCAGAGCTCCTAAAATGGGGGGTGGGCGAAATGAGGAGATGGAAGATGGTGTGGTTATTGCCTTTGGTGGTTTGGATTTATTCACCACAAACAGGGTTGTTTGGCAGAAAGGGGACATTTCTGGACATTTTCATGGTCACCACACAGCGTTACCCATAGGGCCCTGTCAATACATTTACAAGAACTGATCCCATTATCTTCAGTCTCTGCCTGTTTGAGGGAATCTCCCTGACACTTAAAATCAAGCTGAGTCTGAAGATGACAGGGACCTTTGTGCCATGCAGTCACAGCGCCCTGCATGTAGCATGGGGACGGATTGTGTGTCGGGCACGGTCCATCCCACACATTCAGCAGGGGAGCTGCTGCTGATTAACTCCAGTTTTGCCCCAGTATTTTTAAAGAAACTCAGATTCACCTTCTCTTCCTTGTTCTCAGTTTTAAGCAGCTGGGCAGATTGAGATGAGCAGTAGGACTGACACTGTTCCCAAGTTCTGGTTGCAGCAGCAAAGAGGTACAAGCTGTCACTGGACTGTATCCACCGTACCGGACATTTGTCCCCTTGAACGAACAAACACCGCTGATCAGTTCACCAGGATCCTGCCTCGCTCTGGTGTGACGAGGTGTGCTGGGGACATTGCCGTCTAACCCTGGGATTGTACTCCAGCCTTAGGCCTTGGCCCCCATGGCTACTGTTGTCATGGACCATACAGTCCGGTGATCCCATCATCCCATGGGGATGTGCCTTTCCCGTCCAGGAGCTGCCGCTGCCAGGCGGGGAAGAGCAGGCTGCCTGAAGGGACTGGCTTCCCCAGCAGCATGATGGGGTGACTGAAGAACCAACCCCCACCATCTTGGTAGAGGCCTGACTGCCTTCCTGACCCCCCGTCGGGTTGGGGAGATGGGAGCTTGTCACAAGCAGGGAGAGGGACAGCCGGGAAAAGCACATTGGCCCAGCTCAGCTGAATCCCAGTTGCTAAGGGGAGAAGGGGGGAGCCAACTGTGGAGCTGGATGTGACAAATGACCCACGTGCTTCGGCCTGAGTGTACTGCCCTCAGCTGGGCTGCGTTGGGCCGCAGGAGGGGAGTTTATTCACTGACTGTGTTCCTTCCTCTCTCAAGGGACAGGGGAAAAGCTGAGCCGGTTGGGCGGAGAAGCGAGGTCGGGAGGGCTCTCCATCCGCACCCCACCCCACCCCACGGCTGGCCAGTGAGATCTCCCACAAGCACCTACGGGGGAACTCCCATCCTAAGCCCAAGCACTTTGGGACAGAAGGAATCTCCTGTACGGATCTGGGTCTGGCCGGTGGGGACAGCGGCTCCTCCTCCTCCATTTACCTTGGTGGTTTGTGGTTTGGCTTTGGCACAACTTCAGCTGCTGGGTGAGATTTTCCACCTGCTGGGTGAGGACTTCCTGCTGGCCACGCCACTGAGTGTCTTAAATGTCAGAACAACACAACAGTGTCACTTAGCAAGGCTAGGGCAGAATTTACAGAGCAGTCGTTCTTTGAAGCATGGTGATACAAAAGCCTCAGTTGAAACATAGCACAGTGCAATGGGTCCATAAAACCCACCCTGATTAGCCTAGATCTGTTCAGAACATCCATGCACGGCGTGGCATCCAACCATTGTATTACCAGTGCATTGTGGGTACCTGTCCCACAGCTCAGATCTTCTAACTAGGGACCTTCTGCAGCAGCTCTCCACACCTGGGGTGGGGCTGTGCTACAATTCTTTTGAGAAAGTCTACTGGATAAAGTAGCTTTATTCATGTACACAGTAGCACACATTTTGCAATACTGAACAGCATTGGTACTTGCATGAAAATGTTCTGTATTTTTTAAACAGCACAGGCATCGGGACTGCCAGCCAGATTCTCAGCTGGTGTCAATCCATGTAATTCAGTGACTGTGTCAATTTACTCCAGCAAAGGATCTGGCCCGAAAGTTGTATGTGTACAAATACAGACAACGGAGTACCTTAAAACAAAAACAGACAGGCCTACAGGGGACTATGTCCATTCCACGGAGTGTTGGCTAATTTATTGCCCTTTCTGGATGACATCACGCTAAGAGTTTAAGTGAATAATTGATGAGAGGGTAAATGTCGGTTGAGCTCTGTTCTGCAGCCCCTCCTTCCAATATATTAATTAGAGTGTACCAGTAATGAGCGCCCACAAGGCATATCTCTGGGACATATGACTCCTTAGAGAACAAAAGGTATAAATGCTAAACAAAGTAAATTAGTTAAGTTAGTTCCCTAATTCATATCTAAAGAGGTTTGAGACCGTGAGACAGAAATCCTCGGGGTGAGCTAGACCTTGCTTCGGGGGACATTTAGCAGACCAAGTACCTAAGAGGGGAAACAAGAGAAGAAAAGCAGTCTCCCTCTAGATAGATCAGCCTTGTTTGCTAATCAGGTTAATGTGTGAGGCCAACATAGTCTGACTGAAACTGAAAAACAGACACTGGCTAAACAATTGGGTTCTTTGACTAAGAAAATGTGTTTGTCTTGGCTGTTGGGATACATGGTTAGAAAACATCTAGATCTTAGAGATTTCAGAGAATTAATAATAGCATGTGCTGGCCCTATAAAAGGAATGACATTGTTGGCTGAAATTGAGGCAGAGTTAAGCAAAGATGGTGCTATCTGGAAGGTAGCCCGATATTTTCTGATTCTCTCTGAATTAAGGAGATTGGGTTTGTTGGTGTATCAGAAGGAAGGGGAATCTCTTATGGCTTATTGTACTAGATTGTTGTTGGTATGCTCTCTGGCTGGAACTGAGCAGAAACTGGTGATAGATTTAATATCTTGGATGGATTTAGATGAAGCAGAAAGAGTAGTAAGTGGAACAAGTAGTTCTCTCGGAGAATGGTTGGTGGGGCTCCCTACAGTAATCAAGCAGGCTATAATGGCTCCAACCATGCTGCCTTGGGACGTGGTAGTTGCAATGCAATAGAACAAGGCAGAGAACGATCTGGTAGGAGACACACAGTGTCTAGTTAGGGATCATTGCAAGCACAGGTATGGGCAAAACGTCAGGAAAGGGGTGCAGCAGGGAGGGGAGAGGGGAGAGCCTCGGAAAGGACATTGGCCCAACTCAGCGGACTCCCAGTAACTAAGGGGAGATGGGAGGAGCCAGCCATGGAGCGGGATGTGGGAAATGACCCACGTGCTTTGGCCTCAGTGCACTGCCCTCGGCTGGACTGCGTCGGGCCGCAGGAGGGGAGTTTATCACTGACTACGTTCCTGCCTCTCCCAAGGGACAGGGGAAAAGCTGAGCCGGTTGGGCTGAGAAGCGAGGTTGGGAGGGCACTCCATCCCCACCGCACCCCACGGCTGGCCAGTGAGATCTCCTTCAACCACCTACAGGGGAACTCCCATCCCAAGCCCAAGCACTTTGAGACAGAAGGAATCTCCTGTACGGATCTGGATCTGGCTGGTGGGGACAGCGGCTCCTCCTCCTCCATTTACCTCTGTTGTTCGGCAGCTCCGGCGGAGTCCCTGGGTGGTTTGTGGGTTGGCTTTGGCAAACCTTCGGCTGCTGGGTGAGATTTTTCTGCTGGCCGTCACACTGAGTGACTTAAATGTCAGAACAACACAACAGTGTCACTTACCAAGGCTATGGCAGAATTTACAGAGCAGTCGTTCTTTGAAGCATGGTGATAAAGTATCTGATACATAGTGCAGTGCCATGGGCCCATAAAACCCACCCTGACTAGCCTAGATCTGTTCAGAACATCCATGCACAGCTCGCCACCCAACCACTGTATTACCAGTGCATTGTGGGTACCTGTCCCACAGCTCAGATCTTCTAACTAGGGACCTTCTGCAGCTGCTCTCCACACCTGGGGTGGGGCTGTTCTACAATTCTTTTGAGAAAGTCTACTGTATAAAGTAGCTTTATTAATGTATACAGTAGCACACATTTTGCAATACTGAACAGCATTGGTACTTGCATGAAAATGTTCTGTATTTTTTCAACAACACAGGTATCGGGACTGCAAGCCAGATTCTCACCTGGTGTAAATCAATGTAGTTCACTGAGTATGTCAATTTACTCCAGCAAAGGATCTGGCCCGAAAGCTGTATGCTTAAAAACACAGATGTGTAGTACCTCAAAACAAGAACATGGAGTGTTGGCTAATTTATTGCAGGGGAGTGCCTCAACACCCCACTGATGTCTTCATGGATTATTATAGCCTTATATATATGGGTATGTGACAGAGTGCTTGCCCCACACAATGCCTGACTAGGTACACCTGGAGGAGAGCCAGGGCTGATGAGGCCTAATGGCTGATGAAGGCCAGCTGGGGAGAGGAGCTGGGGCAGGCAGGAAGAGAGGAAGTTGGTGGTAAGAGAGGGTGGCAGGGAGGAGCTCTGCAGTCGCTCCCTAGAGAGCAGGGGAGTTGGCAACAGACTATGGGGAGTAAGCCCTGAGGTTCTGCCTTGGCTACAGACTGACTGTGACAAGAAGCCGAGAGTGGTGAGAGCCATAGGGAGCAGAGGAAGCTCCACTGGTAACTCAGGGGTGGGCCAGACGATAGGAAGGGAAGTAGGAAGGAGCCCAGGAAAACAGCAATGGTGTCTGGGAGTTAGCAGACAGAGGCTGCTGGCTAGAGCGTCTCTGTGCTGGACCCTGGAGTATGGTGGGCCTGGATTCCCCTACCAGCCTCTGGGGTGGTGGGTCAGACTGGGCAGTGGAGCAGAAGACTGCCTGAGGCATTTTGTCCAGTAGGACTTTGATACTATGGATGGGAAGGACTATAGTGACCTAGCCAAGGCAAGAAGCAACTTGAGTGATGGGGAGGGAATAACCTGACTCCAGAGAGAGACCATGGGGTGAGGAAACTGGCCATGAGCTAACCCCCACATGGACACAAGCCCCAGCAGCGAGTAGAACACCCCGCAACAGGGTAGAACAAAGGCACAGAGAAGTAACGTGACTTGTCCCAGGTCAGAGGCCGAGCTGTGACTAGAACCCCGGAGCAAAGCCAGTTTTAATACGTTGTAGTGGGTCTACCAAAACGGAAGTGCCTCCTGCCCAGTGAGACTATGCCCAGGAACTGCCCCGGAGTTTGGGGGAGGGCTAGTGAGATGATTCTAACTATCCTCTCGCTGACACTCCCCTAACTGAACTGACTCAGTGGATGCTGAAATTATCCTTGGCATGGCATGTGGGGAGACTCTCTGGACTCCCTTCTGCTGCAGGAGTGGAGCCCTGCTCCTTGCCACCCTAGTGACCATTTTTCATCCGTTCAGTTTGATTTCAAAGGTTCTTCACAAGCAGAAGTGCATTTTTTTAAAAAACGAAAGCCAAGATTTTCTCCCACAAATCTAGTTTACCCAAAGCATGGACAGGCTGTGTACAGTGCAAAGGCCTGCTCCACCCAGGAGTCCTGATTCTCTGGAGTCTACCCAGTCTCTGCAGTGGTAACAGAATCACTGTTTGTCTTAAACAGGAAGGCACTTTTTAAAGAGAACACCTGCAATTATAGACAAACAGACTTCTACCCAGCTTGAGTTCCAGTCTTGTCTCTCTTGTTTACCAGGGTGCATACGCTACCTTGAACTGCATACAGCATACAGAGATATCTAGTGGCTGAATAATATACTGCAAATGATATGGTATTAGTCTCTGCTGTAGCCACTAGAAAATGCTGTCTTCCCCTTCAACACATTATAAGAACTTACGACTCCTTTTTCCTGTACTTACCCTTGGAAACCAAAACTCCTGTTGCTATCAACAAAAGCAGGCAGAGAATCCCAAGGATAACTGTAGTGAGCAACCATCGAGAAGGCAGAGGATCTTATAAAGAAATACAAACAATACATCATAATTATTGACATCTGCAAAGCTGCAAAATGAACATCAAAAATAAAGTATCTAAACAGAAGAGGAAGGGGGAGGGAGGAATGTAGTTGTCTTAAAAAAAAAATCTCCTAGAAAGAGTGCTTTTGATTAAAAAAAGAAATAGAGTAGCAGGGCCAATGAACATTAAGCTAAAAAGATAATTCTGGCCTGTCCAGTACCACAAATAGCTACGTGCCCTACCTTTGAAAAAGTGTGTGAGCTGCAAAGCAAGTACTGTGCATGCAGTCATAGAGACTGATGGTGCAAATGCAGCAGTAGATTAGCCGATCACTGAAAGAAGCCCCAGTAGCTATACTGAGGGGACTGGGAATAAAGAGAAGGAAGTGTCTCTGGAAATGAAGAACAGAGGCTCTAGCTATCTAGACCTTGCCACGATTAAAGTTGATACAGATTCCCAAACAAATATATTGTCAGCAAAGTTACTCCAGAAAATCAGAAATAAGCCTGATCTAGGGAAAAAAGAGAAATAGAAGACAGACCATAGGCGGGAGAAATGGCCAGTCACTGAGATTTCAGCCAGATAATGTCTAAAAGGGCTGTGAAATCATTTGATTTTTAGTGAATAAGGATCAGGAAAGTCAGACTGTATTTTTCCCCTACCTCAACAGAGATGTTATTTCCAGTGGTGCCAACTCTCTCCATTTGATCATGAGTTTTACAAAAAATTTGTAAAGCCGCAGCTGCTGGAATCATGTTATTACCTGAGAATCTCAACTTTCATTGGAAAAAAAATGGTAAGATTCTTGTACTCATTGGTTGTGGAGACCAGACTGAACAGCTGCCCCTAAACACCCCAATGCCAGAAGAAACAAAAGAAAACAAAATGTCGTATTTTTACATCTCATGATTTTTAGTCCCGACTTGTGGTTTTTAAATGCTTGGGGTTGGCAGTACTGAATAAGCAGCAGACAGTGATGATCTATGCTTCTGTTCAAGATTTCCCCTCTGGTGGTGACAATGTTTTACTTGTAAAAAGAACAGGAGTACTTGTGGCATCTTAGAGATTAACAAATTTATTTGAGCATAAGCTTTCGTGGGCTACAGTCCACTTCATCGGATGCATGTAGTGGCAAATACAGTAGGAAGATATATATGTACACAGAGAACATGAAACAATGGGTGTTACCATACACACTATAAGGCGAGTGATCAGTTAAGATGAACTTTTATCGGCAGGAGAGAAAAAGAACTATTTGTAGTGGTAATGAAAATGGCCCATTTCCAGCAATTGACAAGGAGATATGAGGAACTGGAAATTGCTGGAAATGGGCCATTTTCATTACCACTACAAATTGTTCTTTTTCTCTCCTGTTGATAAAAGTTCACCTTAACTGATCACTCTCCTTATAGTGTGTATGGTAACACCCATTGTTTCATGTTCTCTGTGTATATATATATCTTCCTACTGTATTTTCCACTACATGCATCCGATGAAGTGGGCTGAATCCCACAAAAGCTTATGCTCAAATAAATTTGTTAGTCTCTAAGGTGCCACAAGTACTCCTGTTCTTTTTGCGGATACAGACTAACACGGCTGCTACTCTGAAACCTGTTTTACTTGTGCAACTCAAAGGCTACACCCACAGCATGGCTACGGCTGAGATACAACAGCCATTGGCCATCTTGAAAGAGAAATTCCAACTTTAGGGCACTTGATATAGTGTCCGGAGCAATGGATTGTTACACTTAGATGTTTGATTATTGGCGGTAAAGTAACAGAATGGTCAGGAGTACAGCGCATGCAGTGAGTCGTTAAAAGGTACAATACAGTATTGTGCTAGTCAGTTACTAGAGGTAGAAAGTCTCATGGGGTTTTAATATATGGCAGGTAGATTTAATAGGAAGTATTTAGTAGGATTTCAGAAAAAGAGTGTTGTTATGGATATGGGTTGTACTGGTGGTGGTGAAGTAGAAAGGCTAAATTCTGAGCAGCAATCAAGACATGTTTAGCTCTGTTTCGCTGTAATGATGCTGTTGTTCCATACAGTACCTTTGTCTCCCGCACCTTGAGGTCTTTGGCTTCCCTGCTGCTTAGCTGGGGTGTGATGGTTCAGTTCCTGGTTCGTTGCCAATTCCTTACGTGTTGCTGGTGAGATTATAGAGACAGAAATTTTAGACTTGACATCGGGGAGCTTGATAATACAAGTACAGCAGTAGAGGGGCTGATCATGAAAACCGGGTCCCATATCGATAGTAGAGGAGGGCAATACAAATTGTAAGTATCTTCGGAATTGAAGAGTGAAAACCCTTGGCACAGTTAATTTGACGCAGGAGTTGCCAGCAATATTATATCAGGAATAACTCTGAGATGGTGGGGAGGAGGGAAAATAATACAGAGCCCAATGGAGAGACATTCCCAGTAAATAGGATATCAGCCGTGGAAATTACAAAGGTGTTGTGAAGACACTTGTTTTTCTGATGGTGGATGAGGAAGCTCCATCTGTATTAGGGACTGCAAGATGTGAATAGCTAAGACAGGTCACATGTATAACAGGAGCTTGGTGTGGTCTGAATGACAAGTCCTAGGAGAATTTATTGGTGGGTTTGATGAGATGGGCTGGCATGAGGACATGCCTGAGTTATCATTCTATCCAGGGCAGTTCCATTAGCACGGAGAGGCTGGGCTCTGCAGGAACTAACATGCTTCATGCATTTCAAAGTGAGAAATCAAGTCAGCCAACTGGCTGGGTGCATCTAAAAGTGATGGACACTTTTTCTTACTAAGAACTGAAGAGCTTTAGGGTGAGATTCTGGCCAACCAGTGCCCAGCTGCAGGGAGAAAAAAGGCAGAAAGAGCTCCCTCTGCCCTTTGTGTCTCTTTGCGGTGGTTGACCAGAACTGGTGTGTAGAGCATGCTTGTCCTTCCCTGGAGGCTAGCTGCCTGCAGGAGATGGTATCTCACATTAGACCAGCTCCTGACAACCTACATTAGAAAATTACCATAGACTCTTAGGCACTTGTTTGAAAACCTTTGACTAGAGCGCCACACAGAATGCAAAGGACACTTAAGCTCATGACAGCATCGGTTCAAACTAAGCCTTAGCTAAGACAAATTGCCTAGCAAGGGCAATGTTATCAGAAGCTGAGGGTAGCATGGAACATGATCTAGACAGACTTGTTGACTGTGAAAACCCACTAACCCCTGCTGATAAAACATAGATGTTGATGCAAGAAACTTGCAAAGATACAGATCTAAAATCCTCAGAAGGCTGAATCTTGAGTGATAGCCAGAAGTGAGGAGAAATCTCATCCACTGGCCATTATTATTAGTCTGCTTTTGATGAGCTTCTGATGGTTAATGTAATCCTTAAACAGGAAAAATAATCAGTGAGTCCATGCATCACGAGGAATCAAACGTTATGTTGCATTCATGATGAATTTCTGGGTATGAAATTAAGCAAAGAGAAGAGCTAGAGTCATCTTTATTAGCCTGGTACAAACACACAGGTTGCCGATCTGGATCTGAAATGTAGCGGTCACGGCTATAGAATCAGAGCATTTTTAGTAAGGAAAAGAAAGACCTTGGCAAAATCTATCAGACGACCTCTTTTACTTTGTAAGCACAGATTATTTAGTGGTAGAGGACTCGTATTCAGGCTACTTTGAGTTTTCTACCAGGTACCCTGAATGAAACACCATTAGCTGTTATTTCTGTACAATAATGTTTTATTACGTACTGTACCTTTGTCACCAGGTCTTGGCCTTCTAGACTCATCAAATTTCAGAGCTGAGTAGGTTATCACATCCTCATTCATTTCCGGTGGAATAGAAATTTTAGACTTGGTTTTAGATGACTGAGGAAGCTGGGTGGGATTCAATGAGAAACTCACGGGTACATGAAAGATCTCTATGTACTGTGATAACTCTGTCTAGGCCTTGTACTGCTGAGTTTTATAGCATGTTATAGTCTGAAATGATACTTAAAAAAAGAATGTTAAGGTTGCAAAATCAAGCAAAATCAATAATTCGGAAATGCTAGATTTAAGGTTGCCCATGCAACCTTAATTCACCCCCTTGTGCATTTTGATACAGTCTTTAATTACACAGTCACATACTGTTTTTTTCCACAGGACCCCTGCTTCATTCAGTACTCAGAATGGATGGTGCTCTGTGAATGGGTAGCTATTCAAGATCTCTTTCTGTTCTCATCATTTAATATGTGGCCCCCGCATGCATTATCTACTGTGCTCTATTCAAACTCTGCACTGACTACAGAATTATTTAATTCCTCGTTGATTTCTCTATGCTATTCTCATGGTAGTATCTTAGCGCTTTGCAAACCCTACGTGGGGCTGATTCCCCCGTGGGGGGAGTGGAATTCATCGTCACACCATCCCTGTTTGGGGAGGGGCAAGTAGTATTTGCATTTTAGCGGTGGGGAACCAATGCATAGAAATCAAGGCCAAAATTGTCAAAAATATTAATTAATTTTGGCTGCCCAATTTAAGAAGCCCAGGGCCTGATTTGTCAGAGTACTTAACTTTTTATAGCATTTTATTTGTTCTGAGAAGAGCTCCCACTGACCTCAGTTTCAGCTGTGAGTGCTTAGTACTTCTGCAAATCAAACCCCAAGTATCTCAAGTCAGACGTCCAGGAAATGAGGAGCACACAATTATTGACCACTCGTGAAAAGTCTCATTGGAGTGACTTGCCCAGCATCACATAGGTAGAGTAGGTAGAATTCAACTGCCTTAACCAGGAGACCCTCCTTTCTCTTCCCACAAGCCCCTGCCTCATTCACTACACACCTTCCAGCTTCTGCCACGAATGACACCGGGGTCCTACAGACAGCAGTCTCCTTCAGTGCACACAGTTCCTAAATGCTGTTTCGAAATGGAAAGTGCTGTTTAGCCATTTTGAATCATTTCGTTTCAGTCAAAACTCTTTTTGGAATTCTTCATGGCATGAAAAAAATGGACATTTCAACGTTTCCTTCTGATTCGGAACAGGAAACAATTTGAAAAAGCCAACCTTCCCGGCCAAGGGAGAGTTCCATCTTTCGAACAGCCCTAATCGTAACTGATCTGAGCCCGAAGGGAGCAAGAGCTTTAGAAATATATCATTAGAAAATATTTTGATGACCTCTTGAGTTGCAGAGGAGACTTTAAAAGGCAGCAACCCAAAGCCCCTTCAGTGTTGTTAAACCAAAAGCTAAATATTGTTGTGAAATCAATGTTCTGCAGTCAAGATTCTTCTGGCTTCAGAAGGAGCTAGAAAATACTCTGCTACAAGCTGCATCTAATGCATAAAGAGCCTAGAACTGACAATTGAGCTGCCAAAGTCTTCTGCATTAGCGTTCCATGCAGCAGTTCAAGTATAACCATGCTTCCTATGATAAAACTAGCAAGGGACATATATAGGACCAGATTCTGCTCCCAGTTACACCGCTATAATTCCACTAACTTCATTGGATCTACTCCTGGTTTATTCCAATATCTCCCCAGTTAGTCCTGGGTAAGCCTGTCTCTACATTGGGCTAGCGTAAATCAGCATGCTCCATTGGAGTTGACAGAGGGATGCTGAGATATGGAAGCTAAGGATCCGGCCCATCGTGCCTTACGACAGAACAAAAGAATCTGATTCTTTTTTCTTGAGAACATTAACTCCTTTCAGAAAAGTCTCTTCTCCCATTTCATCTGATCGTGACGGGTTTCAGTGGAGTAAACACAGCAGTCAAAACCTGTGCTCTCTCCCCTTTGCTCTAAGACCGACATTAACCTTTACCCCCCCAAGACAATCACCTCCAACCTGATCCTGCTCCAAGCTGCAAAATCCTTCCACTTGCCCCGATGACAAACATTTCCAGCTGCCTCCCCGCTCTATTTCCTACCGAGACATTGACAAGCAACTCCAACACGGCCCTCAGCCTCAGTTACCGGACACTTCCTGTGTATTTTCCAAAATCAGCCTGCTGTCCTTCTTGGAAAACATGATTCTCTAAAACAGGATGTATCCTGCTCTAAGCATGCGCCTCCCCCTTTCCCCCTTCCTCCATGATTTGAACACAGTACCTTTGTTTATCTCCAGTGGTTCACAGGCAGAGGTTCTGAAATGGACCCTGAAGTGGCACGTCTCACCATATATGAGTCCCCAGTGGGGGGGGATAAAGGAGAACAATGATTGGCTATGCAAAGTTCCATCGGAAGCTGCACAGGAAGCTCTCTCGCTGCTAATTTGAGACACGGTCCTCACCTAGCGTGCTAACCAAAAAGGGACTTTAATCTTTACATGCAATGAGACCTTTTTACTCTTTTATAGCACATGGAAGGAGGTTGTGAAAGGTTTCAATTTCATATAAGAGGTCACCAACCTAGGAAGGTTAAGAAATGCGGATCTAGTGCACAGAGCCCTGCATGCAATCTTGGGCACCTTACACTACCTTGCTGCAGTAACTCGCATCTGGGCTTCTCACAAACAGCCCAACAGCTTGCAACCTGCATCTTGAGTATCTGTGTGTACCTGCAGCCTGCCAGCTACGCTCTGGCTCTCACTAGCCTGGGTTATTCTGCAGGGTGACCCCAACACACTCCCAGGCCTGGATTTTCCCCCAGCAATGTATGTCTTGTACTGCCCAGCCCTGTCCTGTCCAGTCCAAATATATTAAGTCCATTATTCCTTTTAAGAGAATAATATACACCAGCGTATACCTTAAATAGTCACCCAGACACTCTTATCTAATCCAATGTGTTTAAGTTAAACAATAAAACAAGTGATTGAACTACGAAGAGAGAGATTTTAAGCGAGTACAAGCAATGAGGCAGAAGAGGCAAAAATGCTTACAAGAAAAATAAAGATAAAACCCTTTCTGGTGCCAACAAATTATATTCAATTTAAAGCAAAGTTTCTCCCAACATGCCCAACGGCATTCCTGACCAAACTCTTCAGGTTAGGACCACTCCGCCAGAGTCCAATGGCGTCTTCTTTTTGTCTTCTCAGGTGCAAAGAGAGGGAGAGAGAGGAGGGGGTCTCTTGGGGTGTTTGCCCCTCCTTTTTATAGTTTCGGTCCCCCTCTTGAAAAGCATTTCCAGCTGATAACCAGAGACAAAGACTCTGTGTGGAAGGATGTTCCTTCACCTGTGTGAACTTCCTTTGTTTTATCCCTTCCCCATCCTGAGTTTTTGGAATCTGTTATTCACACAGCTCTAATAAGGAGTAGCTGCTTCGGGGTTGGATATTTCTGTCCTTCATCCTATGCTGTTTCCCTCTGGACCATTGTGGCGGCTGTGACAATGAGACGTGTTCAGTGAAGGCCTGTGTCTGAGCACTGAAGAACTAAGCCCAGTGGCACTTCATCAGGTGCCTCACGCAATAGGCTCCTACCCTACAGATGGCTGATTTGCTCAGACTAGCCTTTCAGCTGTCAACAAGGTGTTTAAACTGGCTTCCCGGCGAGTGTTTGAAGGGTGGGTTGTCTACAAGCTTCCAGGCCCCTTGAAACTTCCCTCCAGTTGATTCTCAGAGAGGGAGGTAGACCATATGTCCTGGATGTTTTCACTCTTAACTATCAAGGAGCCCTGCTGCAGCTCTGAGCCTTGTGCTGGTGGCACTTACATTTGGAGACTAAAGTGGATTGAAAAGGGAGGGAAAGCTCCCACGGGACCAACCCAGGAGAAAAACAGCTAGGGGAGCATTGCTTTAGCAGTGTGTGATGGAATGCACCCCTGTAGTCACACCCTACGCACTACTGTAATAATCTTTGTACAAGGCATGCCTTGTGTGGTATCATTTGAAAACTCATAATGTGCTGATCATTAATATCACGGTGAAATGTGTGTAGCAGCATTCTGTGTAAAGTTATACATTTCCCCCGGTATGATGTTAAAAATACACATCCAGACTCACGTAACATCAAACTGGTCAAACAGACCTGTCTTGAATAAAGGAGTGTATGCTTGTCTTAGTTTGCATTTAAGTTGTTGTACTTGACTGGACCCAAAGAAGAGTTCCGTGTAGCTCGAAAGCTTGTCTCTCTCACCAACAGAAGTTGGCCCAATAACAGATATCACCTCACCCACCTTATCTCTCTAATCAGCCTTCATATAACTCCTCCCCGTTGAATGTTTTGTGGACGTCTCTCCATTTCGTATCGGTGATGCACATAATAATATTCGGGCAATAACTACTGTGCCATGCATAGGAGATAAGCTGCTTGTACTGTCTCTGTGATAACCCTCTGGGCAGCCCTCAGCTCTCAAACCTGAGGTTTAGTCACAGCAGAGGTGCTAGGCAGCAATCAGTCATGTCCCCCTTCAGGTGCGGCTGGCGGACATCCTCCTGCAGTTCATCCAGGGGCGAGCGGTACCCTCACTGATGGATTCCTCGCCTGCTGTACCCCCGGCTATCTTTAATGCTACACAGCAAAACTCTGTCAGGCACTGTTCAAGTGTAACTCTATGACAACCTCTGTCAAGGGAGGGGAGGCCTTAAGCCTTCAGCTAGCTGGGGAGGGCATTACGTGTTCCTCCCAGATGGTTCATTCCCAGCACAGGTTAGCTCTCACTCCGGCTCCTTTGGCATCCAATGGCCAAACAGCAATGGGAGCGGGATTGGCTCCTTCCCAGGTGGCTGGTGTCTTTCCTGCCACCAGGGGGCAGCAGTAAGCAACGGGAGCGCCCAGGTAGGCTGGAGAGAGGCCGCAGCACAAACCCAGCCGCCCTCGACGTCGCGTGGGTCTGATTCCCCCGTGGGGGGAGTGGTATTTTTGCAGGCACCTGCTAACGAGAAGAATGTCACGCATGCATCTAATCGCCCCAGCGTGTGCCTGAAGCAGTGGCCACACGCACGCCTGCTGCTGTCTCCGTGCACCCGGCTGCTGACTCCTGGCTGGCGTTGGGTCAGACCCTGCGCCATCCATGGGTCCTGGCAGGCTCTTTCTCCTGCTCCCGGCTGCACTAGGGCTTGGGCCAAACAGGGCACAGCCTTCGTCTGAGCTGCCGGTATGAGTCTGGCTGCTCGGAAGGGTCAGTGGAGGGCAGCTAGTTATTAAGGGCAGCTCCAGGCACAGTTAGGGGGCAGCGTGTTTGGGTCTCCACACTGACTGGAGCTGGCAGCTGCCTGACACCCCATTGCGCTTTGGAGAGGACGGGGGAGCACGGCTTCCCCTGGGTCTGTGTTCAGACGCTGCATCCGGGGAGCAAAGTTTTGGAAATATTAGCCCCAGATCTTTTCAACTGGCTTAGCTGGTAGCTTAGCCCTTTGGCTCGCTGCCCACCCCGCCTGGGGAGATCCCTGCCGTTTTATTCTGCACCCCTGCCTGGTAAGAAGATACAGCGGGTCAGTCCTGGAGCAGCACGGACAAGCCGGCCCCGAGGGAGAGCCAGGAAGGCTGCTGTGTGAGGCCAGCGCTGTTTGTCGTGTGATATGTAAATGCTAGTCAAAAAACCCAGCACGGCTTTGGAGGATAGTCTTGTTCTTGTCTTGGGGGAGGGATAGCTCAGAGGTTTGAGCATTGGCCTGCTAAACCCAGGCTTGTGAGTTCAATCCTTGAGGGGGCCATTTAGGGATCTGGGGCAAAATCAGTACTTGGTCCTGCTAGTGAAGGCAGGGGGCTGGACTCAATGATCTTTCAAGGTCCCTTCCAGTTCTAGGAGACGGAGATATCTCCATTAATTTTTTTTTTATTTTTTTTGTCCCCTACGCTGCTCTGCGCCACGAATTCCAGGGCACAGAGTGGGGTTAGGTGGTTTCCACAAAGAGCCAGGGAGCTCCTGGAATCCTGCTGCCACATGGCGAGTTTGCGGGTCTCATGCAATCGAGCATCCTTTACAAAAACTCACCAGACCAGGTTCACACACGGACTTTGGGACACCCATCTTTGGCCTTCGCCTGGCTCCCGCTTCCACCGCCGTCCTGCGCCAGCAGCCCCTTTCTCACCTCCGCCTCCCTGCTAGTGTTAAAACGCTTACCTTCGTTCCCAGCCGCTTGGCAAATTATTGCCCGCTCAGATGAACTTCAGTTGCAGACATTGCTCCTGCCCCCACAGGATTTTCCGGCAGCAGGAGATTGGAGGGAGGGAGAGGAGTTTGACTCTGTGGCCTTCTACCTTATTTTTCCTCAATTGGGCAGATATAATGGGATGTGCAGCCCCCACACGACAGCAGACACTAAAGAGTTAATGACGATTACCAGCACTCTCCCAGCTGGGCTGAAGTGACCATTAGAAACAGCTGGGATAAAATCCTGCAACCCAGGCAAAGCAGGGGGTTGCTGGAGAGGCTGAACGCTGCTGTGAAGGTGCTCCACAGGAGTAGAGAGAGCCAAGCCACCCAGAGGGACAATTTCCTGGCAGAAGGATCCAGGGAAGGTTGCCAGAGGTAGGAAGCAGCCTGGGAAGGCAGCAACAGACCTAAATAAACAGCCTTTGACTGCCTAGGGCAGGCTATCTGGCTGGAGCCCCCTTCCAGCTCCTTAAAGGGAAGGGAGCGGAGCTTGCGGAGTCTGGGGTTACTAACGTAAGTCTGTTGGCCGGCCTTTATTTTTTTCCCTGCTGTAAGTTCCTTTGGTTCTCCCTGATGAAGGAGGGAGATACTAGACTGGGGGACTCTAGGCGGAGGTCTTACTACCCTGACAGGGGAGGGACTCAAATGACCAGCAAGAGGGCTGGAGCTGTAGAGAGAGGCCAGGTGCTAAATTTCTAAACTGACACAAAGGGAAACTGAGGCAAGGCTACTGTTACCGAACACCTGGCTGGGGGTGTGCATTTGTGAAAACCCTGCTGTAGTCCATTTTCTCTAGGGTGCGTTTAAACACACGAGTGTATTTCTTCTCCTCTTTACCATAGAGACACTAGATTTCTTCCATTGTACCCAGGCAAGCAAACCCAAATGTTGTACGGTGTGATAAACCACCACACTCCCTGTTCACCAGCTTGTGTCCCTGAAAGTCAGAGAATGGGGATAGAAACTGTAGCTGCAAATTGATCGCTGGGGTTTCATTATGAAAATGCTATAAGTTAGAACCCAGGAGTTCAAGCTACACTGGGACCTTTAACAACAGGTGTCTGTTTTAGCTGCTAGCATCATCATGTTCCCATTACGCCTCTGATGTTTAGGGCAGCAACGAAGCTCCTCCACTCCTGTCTGTTTCTGGCAAGTCTTTCAATGGTTCCCCAGCTGTGCCCCAGGTTTTTCAGATCGGCTTCCACAGCTCTTCGCCATGTTGTTTTCAGGCGGCCTCGTGGTCGCTTGCCTTCAGATGTCCATCGTATTGCTACTCTGGTGATGGAATCCGTTTCCATCCGAAGCACATGGGCAATCCATCTCCAATGCCTCCTGGCAATGATGGTGCTCATATCTTCTTGGCTGCACTGTGTGAATAGGTCTTGGTTTGAAATTGTTCTGGGCCAAAAGATACAGAGGATTTTTCTGAGGCAGGTTGTATGGAATGAAGAGAGTTTGGGCATGTCTTACCGTCTCATTTCCCAGCGTTCTGCACTATAAAGTAGTGTTGGAAATACACAGCTCTGATAAATCGTGAGTTTGGTTTTGGTGTTGTAGTTTGATGATTTCCAGACTGTATTTAAGCTCCTGAAGGTCTTCCTGGCTCTATTGATTCTGTTCCGGATGTCCTGGCTTGTTCCACCATCCTGGCTGATAGTGCTGCCCAAGTATGTGGATGTTTCTACATTGGTGAGAATATGATCCTCTATCCGTATTGGTGATGGTGAGGCAATATTAAAGGTCATGATATTGGTCTTATTGTGGTTGATTTTCAGTCCAATTTGCTGTCTGAATATGTTGAGTTGAATTGTTTTTTCTTGTATATGGTGTTGGGTATGTGGTCGGAGAGCGAGATCATCTGCGAAGTCCAGGTCTTCAGGGGATGAGAAGGGTGTTCATTTAATGCCTCTTCGCATGTCTGTTATACGCCGCATTACTCAGTCGGTGGCAATGGTGAAGAGAATTGCAGACATGACACACCCCTGACATACTCCTGTTTTGACTTCAAAACTGAGCTCCCTGTGATCAACACTGCATTGTAAAGTTGAAATAAAAGCTTTTGATGTTGATTATATGGAGAGGGATTCCATATGCCTGCAGAATGTGCCATAGGCTGGTCCTGTGAAGGCTATCAAAAGCCTTCACAAGGTCTGTTAAATGTATGTAGAGTTGCCGTTGCCATTCTAAGCATTGTTCTATTACGTTTCGTAGAGAGAAGATCTGGTCTGTGCATCCACACGCCCTTTCCGAAAACCGGCTTGCTCTTTCCTGAGAACACTATCAACTGCCTCTGATATACACTGGACTATGATCTTACACAATACTTTGCTTGGTACAGATAAGTGTGGTGTGATATGCCAGCTATTACAAAAGAAAGGAACACTCAGTGATTGTATCTTCACTATAACCCCATTGGTCCACTCATCTGGCACTTTTTCCCTTTCCCAGACTGATGTAAATAGAGGGGTCAGGATAGATGCTGCTAACTCAGGCTTTACCTTGAACAATTCTGCATTCAAGTTATTCTTGCCAGGAGCTTTTCCATTTTTTAAGGATTTGATGGCTTGAATGATCTCATCCTTAGTTGGGGTGTCTGTGTTGATATCAAGAGCTTCTTCTGCCTCCTGGATATTTGCTGCTTCTTTAGGTGGCTCCCTGTTCAGCAATTCTTTGAAATGTTCTGTCCAGTGCATTTCTTGTTCTTTTTCTGTTAGTAGGTGGCCTTGTTTGTCCCTGAGTGTTTGTTGGTGTCTGCTGTTTACCACTGATAAGCCGCATCATTTTGTAGACAGTTCCTTATTAAACCCCACCCCCCGCCCCCGGTTCCCCGCCCTCTGACCGCCCCACCCCCTCGCCACACCCTCGCCCCCTGACCACCACCCCAAACTCCCCTGCCCTCTATCCAACCCCCACTGCTCCCTGCCCCCTTACTGCGCTGCCTGGAGCGCTGGTGGCACTACAGCCACGCCGCCGAGCACCGCCGCCGCCGCCACCACGCAGCACAGAGACCGGGTGAGGCCGGGCTCTGCAGCTGCGCTGCCCCAGGAGTTCACAGCCCCATCGCCCAGAGCATTGCGCCAGGGGTGGAGCAAACAAGCTGAGGCTACAGGGGGAGAGGGGGAGGAACTGTAGGGGAGGGGCCGGGGCTACCCTCCTGGGCCAGGAGCTCGGTGGGCGGGCAGGACGGTCCCACAGGCCGGTCCCACAGGCCGGATGTGGCCCGCAGACCCTAGTTTGCTCACCTCTGCTTTAGAAGGTGGACTCCAGAACTGTACCAACTATTCCAGTGTGGATTCCCAAATACCATATACAGCGATACAATCGCCTCTGTTTCTAGTCACTCCGTCCTGTTTAGCCAAGGACTGCATTAATCCTTTTGACCACAGCATCACGCTGGGAGGGCATGTTGAGCTGCATGTCTACTGTGACCCCTAAATCCTTTCCAGCCCCTTCTTTCCAGGCTGCAGTCCCCCGTTCTGCTAGCATGGCCTGCATTCCTCGTTCCTGGATGCATAATTGGCTGTTTTAAAACAGACTTTGTTTGAATGGGGCAAGGTTACCAAGCAATCTAGATTTGCCATGTCCACTCTGCCAGACTTTATCAGCAGTGATTTATATCTACTTCCACAGTTACCTTTATCCACTGAACTTGTAATCTCATCAAAAAATGAGATCAGGTTTCTTTGATAAGACCTATTTTCCATAAGCCCCTGGTGCCTGGCATTAATTATATCCTTATTAGCAATTTAATTCCACGTCAGCTTTTCTATTTTGCGTGGGATTGATGTCAGGCGAACTGGCCTATAATTACCTGAGTCCTCCCGCTTGCCCCTTTTTGAATATTGGCACAACAGTAGCACTCTTCCAGTTTTCTGGAATTTCCCACATATTCCAAGATTCATAAAAATTAACATGAAGGGGCTTAAGATTTTCTGAGCCAACTCTTTTTGGACTCTTGGGTGCAAATTATGCAGGGCTGCTGATTTGAAATTGTTCATTCCCAGTAGATGTGGTTTAACATCCTCCTTGTTTACTAATGGACTGGAAAGTACTTAATCATCCTTGTGTGAGACACGTACATCCTTCCTTAGAGATAAATACTTCTGTATTGAACACTTCTGCGTCATTATTAACAATGTGCCCATCCTCCTCTAGTATTGGGTCTAGATCGACTATGCTGCAAACACTTCTGCACCTGGGTGCAGATCTGCAGGATCAAAGCCATTATTTGTGGTGGTTTGGCTGCTGAAGAAAAGCCTTCTCAGGCCCTAACTGTCTCTGAAAGCAATTGCTCCTCCCCGATGTTGTACTTCTACCAACACTGACTGAAATGAAATCTCTGGGGGGAGCAGGGGGAATGGCATCATGTTTAACCATTACAAACACAGGGAGCTCAGAGTACTGTCCTTGGGATACCTGATCCATGTGTCTAGGTGTTTATAATGCACTGAAGATTATGGTATATTCAGGGGCAGGG